AACCAATAGTTGCATTAGCTTAAGTGACCAATTTTAACTCAAACTAATCATGCTCTCCTTCCAAGTGAGTAATTGTAGCTTAACGATATTAGTTTCACTTAAGAAACGGTTTTAAGGTTTCCTAAATCACCTAAGTGTTCAATTCTCATTTACAAAAGGATGAATTTCAATTCGCTTTCATTTTTATCGTATTTCCCTTTCTTTTGTCTAATTTTCCCTTCTGCTTCTTAAGAAGAAAGATTCTCTCTAACTCTATCCGTCCTTCTCCATCCTTCCCTCTTCTGCTCCACTAACTAATTAGCTTAGGCAATTATTAGTTTAATCTGCTTGAGTAGCCAAATTCAACTCAAACTAAACTTGGTTAGCTTTCAAGGAGCACACTTTGCTGAGTAATTGTGGCATAACGATATTACTTTAACTTAAGGAACTTATTTCATGTTTTCTAAATCACCTATGTGTACAATTCTCAAGTCCAAAAGGATGAATTTCAATTCGCTTAAAATTTCGCCTTATTCCCCTTTTCATTTCTCTCACTTTCTCTTTTAGCGCTCCGGAAGAAAGTTTCTCCCTAACTCTCTCCGCCCTTCTCCATGGCGCTCTCTTTTGTTCTGGAAACCAATTAGTTTGGGCAACTAATAGGTTCATTACCTTAAGTGGCCAATTTTGACTCAAACTAATCTTGCTCTACTTCCAAGTGCATAATTGTTGCTTAACGATATTGGTTTCACTTAAGAAACTCAATTGAGGTTTCCTAAATCACCTAAGTGTTCAATTCTCATTTACAAAAAGGATGCATTTCAATTTGCTTTCATTTTTTTCATATTTCCCTTTCTTTTCTCTAATTTTCTCTTCTACCACTCAAGAAGAAAGTTTTTCTCTAATTCTATCCGTCCTTCTGCATCCTTCTCTCTTCTGTTCCACTAACTAATTAGCTTAGGCAATTATTTGTTTAATCAGCTTAAGTGGCCAAATTCAACTCAAACTAAACTTGGTTAGCTTTCAAGGAGCAGACTTTGCTGAGTAATTGTGGCATAACGATATTACTTTAACTTGGGGAACTCATTTCATGTTTTCTAAATCACCTATGTGTACAATTCTCAAGTCCAAAAGGATGAATTTCAATTTGCTTAAAATTTCATCCTATTCCCCTTTTCTTTCCTCTCACTTTCTCTTTTAGCGCTCAGGGTGAAAGTTTCTCCCTAACTCTCTCCGCCCTTCTCCATGGCGCTCTCTTTTGTTCTAGAAACTAATCAGTTTGGGCAACTAATACTTTCCTTAGCTTAAGTTGCCAATTTTAACTCAAACTAATCTTGCTCTCCTTCCAACTGAGTAATTGTAACTTAACGATATTAGTTTCACTTAAGGAACTCATTTAAGGTTTCCTAAATCACCTTAGTGTTCAATTCTCATTTACAAAAGGATAAATTTCAATTCACTTTCATTTTTTTTTCCCCTCCAACTCACTCCGCCCTTCTTCATCGTTCTCTCTTTCTAAATCACCTATGTGTTCAATTCACAATTCCAAAAGGATGAATTTCAATTCGCTTAGAATTTCGCCTTATTCCCCTTTTCATTTCACTCACTTTCTCTTTTAGTGCTCAGGAAGAAAGTTTCACCCTAACTCTCTCAGCCCTTCTCCATGGCGCTCTCTTTTGTTCTAGAAACCAATTAGTTTGGGCAACTAATAGGTTCATTACCTTAAGTGGCCAATTTTGACTCAAACTAATCTTGCTCTAATTCCAAGTGAGTAATTGTAGCTTAACAATATTAGTTTCACTTACGAAACTCTTTTAAGGTTTCGTAAATCACCTAAGTGTTCAATTCTCATTTACAAAAAGGATGCATTTCAATTTGCTTTCATTTTTTTCGTATTTCCCTTTCTTTTCTCTAATTTTCCCTTCTACCACTCAAGAAGAAAGTTTTTCTCTAACTCTATCTGTCCTTCTCCATCATTCTCTCTTCTGTTCCTGGTGTGTGGTTATGGCTGCTTGTAGCGCCTCTGGTGGGAAGATTGTCTTTCTTTTCTGTTATTTTAACTTCTTACGGTTGGACATTATAGATGGTTTGCTGTGTTTAATTCCTTTTGGCCTATCCGTGCGGGATGTGCACGGCATTTCTGTTTTGTTGTTTTTTGGGTTTCGTACTGTGGATTATGGTACGCCTGTGAGCTGTGCTTGGTCTTCTTTCGACATGTTCCCCTTTTGCATAGGAGCAATATCTGTGAATAGCATCCTAGGTTCTCTGCTAAATGGGACAGCCACGGGATGGACTTCAGTTTTTTTGTTAACTATGGCTGCTGGAAATGCCCAAGACGTGATGAACCTTTTGTTTTTTATTTATTTTATTATTTGGTTGTCAAAGCCTGATGAATGCATGTTGTATTTTTTGGTCTTATGCTTTAACTGCGGGATGTGCATGTTTAAGCTGGTCTGTATGGTCCCGAACCTGTCTGATTGTGTTCATCTTTCCCATATGTTTATTATGGGACACATGAACATTTTTGTATGTTCGGGTCTGTGTCGTTGTGTGTGGACTGTTCATTAGGCTTGTTTGTTTTTTGGTATTTTGACGCGCTTTCAGTTTCTTAGCTTGTTGATCTAGGTTGGTTTTGTTCCTTTGTTTTTTTGTTTCTTTGGTTAGGGCCTGGGGCATGCCCCTTGTAACTAATTAGCTTAGGCAATTATTAGTTTAATCAGCTTAAGTGACCAAATTCAACTCAAACTAAACTTGGTTAGCTTTCAAGGAGCAGACTTTGCTGAGTAATTGTGGCATAACGATATTACTTTAACTTGGGGAACTCATTTCATGTTTTCTAAATCACCTCTATGCGTACAATTCTCCAGTCCAAGAGGTTGAATTTCAATTCGCCTAAAATTTCGCCCTATTTCCCTTTTCTTTTCTCTCACTTTCTCTTTTAGCGCTCAGGAAGAAAGTTTCTCCCTAACACTCTCCGCCCTTCTCCATGGCGCTCTCTTTTGTTCTAGAAACTAATCAGTTTGGGCAACTAATACTTTTCCTTAGCTTTAGTTGCCAATTTTAACTCAAACTAATCTTGCTCTCCTTCAAACTGAGTAATTGTAACTTAACGATATTAGTTTCACTTAAGGAACTCATTTAAGGTTTCTTAAATCACCTTAGTGTTCGATTCTCATTTACAAAAGGATAAATTTCAATTCATTTTCATTTTTTTTCCCCCCCAACTCACTCCGCCCTTCTTCATCGTTCTCTCTTTCTAAATCACCTATGTGTTCAATTCACAATTCCAAAAGGATGAATTTCAATTCGCTTAAAATTTCGCCTTATTCCCCTTTTCATTTCTCTCACTTTCACTTTTAGTGCTCAGGAAGAAAGTTTCACCCTAACTCTCTCAGCCCTTCTCCATGGCGCTCTCTTTTGTTCTAGAAACCAATTAGTTTGGGCAACCAATAGGTTCATTACCTTAAGTGGCCAATTTTGACTCAAACTAATCTTGCTCTAATTCCAAGTGAGTGTAATTGTAGCTTAACAATATTAGTTTCCCTTAAGAAACTCTTTTAAGGTTTCCTAAATCACCTAAGTGTTCAATTCTCATTTACAAAAAGGATGCATTTCAATTTGCTTTCGTTTTTTTCGTATTTCCCTTTCTTTTCTCTAATTTTCTCTTCTACCACTCAAGAAGAAAGTTTTTTCTCTAAGTCTATCCGTCCTTCTCCATCCTTCTCTCTTCTGTTCCACTAACTAATTAGCTTAGGCAATTATTAGTTTAATCAGCCTAAGTGTCCCAGTTCAACTCAAACTAATCTTGCTTATCATTCAACGAGGAGATTTTGCTGAGTAATTTTAGCATAACAATATTACTTTGACTTAAGGAACTCATTTCATGTTTTCTAAATCACCTATATGTACAATTCTCAAGTCCAAAATGATGAATTTCAATTTGCTTAAAATTTCATCCTATTCCCCTTTTCTTTCCTCTCACTTTCTATTTTAGCGCTCAGGGAGAAAGTTTCTCCCTAACTCTCTCCGCCCTTCCCCATGGCGCTCTCTTTTGTTCTAGAAACGAATTAGTTTGGGCAACTAACAGTGTCATTAGCTTAAGTGGCCAATTTTAAACCTGCTCTACTTCCAAGTGAGTAATTGTAGCTTAACGATATTAGTTTCACTTGAGAAACCCATTTATGGCTTCCTAAATCACCTAAGTGTTCAATTCTCATTTACAAAAGGTTGAATTTCAATTCACTTTCATTTTTATCGTATTTCGCTTTCTTTTCTCTAATTTTCTCTTCTGCCTCTCAAGAAGAAAGTTTCTCTCTAACTCTATCCGTCCTTCTCCATCCTTCTCTCTTCTGTTCCACTAACTAATTTGCTTAAGGCAATTATTAGTTTAATCAGCTTAAGAGGCCAAGTTCAACTCAAACTAATCTTGGTTATGTTTCAAGTAGGAAATTTTTATGAGTAATTGTAGCATAACGATATTACTTTAACTTAAGGAACTTATTTCATGTTTTCTAAATCACCTATGCATACAATTCTCAAGTCAAAATGGATGAATTTCAATTCGCCTAAAATTTCGTCCTATTCCCCTTTCTTTTTGGGTGGATAAGTCATAAAATAAAAGGCAAAAAACTTACACCACGACAAGGGGCATACCCCAGGCCCTAACCAAAACACTATACAATAACCAAAAGAAAACAAAAAGACTAAGCCAATCCAGGATTACCCAGAAAAACTAACAACCAAACCATAATCTAGCTAGACAAAATAAAGAAAAATACCAAGAACTAAACTAAGGCAACCATACATAATAAGAAACAAAACAAAAGTGTGTTCATTTGCCGCATGAAAATGTGATGAGGAACATGAACACACCCGATATCTAAGTAGCAAAAGTTGGATGAAAAACATAAAACCCATGTACATCCCACATGGGTAGGCAAAAATATCAACACACACTAAAGAAAACAAACATAAACGGAAGTCACTCTTCACACACGAGGCGCATATAGCAGCCATCAACACAATCATAGTAGACCAAAGATGCTCTTGCTTGCATCTGCACAAAACCAGCCTGCTCCAGACAATGAATCAGAACTGTTTACCAAATCAACCAATCTCCAGACCGCAACATCCTCATAACCAGTTTGCTGCCATCCCATGCAACCCGAACAGTATCTAGACATTGTAGTAGACCCTGTCAACCAGCAGATACTCAAAAGAATTAAGAGCTCATCAACAGGAGAACATACAAAAATCAATGACAGATTACTCGGGATACCACACATATATATGCTCACTACACTCAACCCACAATTATATAAACTCACATCACTCGGAAAATAATGCTCCTTGTACCTGCAAAAAAGAGAAAATTCACAGGTGCTACATAAAAACATGTTAGTGTCTCTCAATGTGGCTAGTGATATTGGGGTGGGTGATCTACTCCTCACACTATACTCGGCCCTCAGATTATGGGGCAAACACTCAACAAACAACTTGCCAGCCATCCAGGTACCTATAACAATAACAAACATTAGGAAACCCCACAATGTATTTGCTAACCATCACTCAACCCACAATTTAGGATCTCTCATTCCTTACAGTAGCTACCGAAGGCTTCACCATAGTATGGGGAAGTCTCCATGATTGGAGAAACCAACTGTCAGTTTGGTGGGATTTCAGATTGGTAATATGCATTACCCTGAACCTTACCATATCCACAATACCCTTTATAACTACCTCTTCCGGGACCATATCCTTGCTAAACACTCTGTTATTCCTTGCAATCCACAACTGGTAGACAGTACATGTAAAAGCAAGCTTAGTGATAATAGCCCCAAGAGATTTGCCTTTCACAGATTGAGCAATGAGCTGGACCAAATCATCCCAAGGTATAGAGGGCCAGTGCACATTTATTCGACCTTTAATGCAAGACCACACCCTTTCCGAGAATGGACACTCAAAGAAAAGGTGATTGTGGTCCTCACAATGATGCTGGCAAAAAACACAATTCACAGATAGGGTTACACCAAAAGTTTACAACCTATCCCCAGTATTTAATCTGCCAAGAATAGCCATCCACACCACAAAGCTCACCTTCGGGTTATTATAAGGGCCCCAAAGGAGAGTAGACCAATTCACAGGATCAAAATGTTTTCTCAAATAGTGCCAAGTAGATTGGATAGTGAATTGGCTATTGGAAGCAGGACACCAACTAACATCATCAGATCCTCCAGTGGGGAGGAAAGTAGGGGGAGTACTATCAATAAGATCCCTAAGCTCCCATGAAGAGGAAAAGGCCATCTCCAAGAATTACCCTCCACAATCTCACTAACCTTAGCATCTATACTAAGAGCAGAATCATACACAATTCTACCACCAAATTTGTCCCACAAAGAACCCATAGGGTGCCAATTATCAAACCACAAAAAAACCGTAGATCCATTTGCCACCCTATGTTTGAGTAGAGGGTAGATGATAGGTCTAAGAGAGAGGATCTTCCTCCAAACCCAAGAAGGGTCATTTGGCACCCTAACTCTCCAAAAACTCTTACCTTTCAGAATATAAGACTTAACCCAAATACACCACATTGACTGCTCTCCCCTAGAGAAGAGGAACCAGACATGTTTAGCAATGGCAGCCTTATTCCACACAGTGAGGGACTTAAAACCCAGCCCCCCTTCCTCCTTAGGAGAGCAGATTCTATGCCAAGAAACCTTAGCCCCATGTTTTTTTAGCTCACACCCAGACCAAAAGAAAGCTCTAAATAAACCCTCTATAGATCTAATGACCTTCTTTGGAAGGATGAATAAAAAGGTCCAGTAAACTTGCATAGAGAATAGAACAGATTGGATCAACTGAGCTCTACCAGCATAAGTGAGGCACTTATTAGTCCAGCTCTTAACCCTTTTTGTAATTCTCTCCACCAGTTGGTCACAGTCAATGGCCTTAAGTTTAGTGGAAACTAGAGGAACCCCCAAGTATCTCACAGGTAACTTGCCCTCACTAAAATTGCAAACCCCAAGGATCTCATTTCTTAACTGCACATCACAGCCAGAAAAGAAGATGTGACTCTTATTAGGGCTAGGAGACAGCCCAGACAAACTCTTAAACTCTTCTAATCCCAATTTAATGGACTGAACAGTAGACACATCCCCTTTACAAAATATCATCAGATCATCAGCAAAGCATAAATTAACAATCTTAGTTTCTTCACATCTCCAATGGAATTTGAAATCAGGGTGAGAAGCCTTCTCAGCCAAAATTCTAGAGAGAATTTCCATAACAATAACAAAGAGATAAGGGGACATAGGGTCACCTTTCCTCAAACCTCTCTCCCCCCTAAAATAACCATGCAGGCTCCCATTAATGCAAATGGAGTAAGTGGGACTAGTCATGCAAGCTTTTATCCAAAGGATAATATTAGGGGGGAAACCCATCGCGGTAAGGACATCAAGAACAAACTCTCATCTAACATTATCGTAGGCTTTCATAATGTCCACCTTCATGGTGCACCTAGGAGAGGGGGAGGCTTTATGGCAGCCCCTCATAAGCTCCTGAGAAAGGAAGATATTATCGGCAATCCTCCTACCAAGGACAAAAGCTGATTGGACAGGATCAATAAGATCATGAAGGACAATTTTAATCCTATCCGCAATAATCTTAGAAATACATTTATATAAAGTGTTGCAGCACGAAATAGGTCTAAAATCCCCCACTTTTTCAGCATTGGGGATCTTCGGAATCAAAGCAATGGTGGTGCTATTTAATTCCTGAAGAAGCTCCCTCGTTGTAAAGAACGATTTGATTGCTTCGACAACTTCTCTCCCCACAATATCCCAGGATTTCAGAAAAAAAACCCGCAGAATACCCATCGGGGCCAGGGGCTTTATTAGCTTTAAGGGACTTGAATGCATCAATGATCTCTTTCTCAGTCACATCCCTAGCAAGGTTTTGATATTGACTCTCAGACACTCTTTTGGTGATAAGGCTACTAATCCTATCATACCCATTATATTGATCACCAAAAGGTTTCCCAAACAAGAAAGCAGAGCCTCTCTCTCTAGATTCTAGAGAGAGATTGCTCCCCCCGGTGGTGTATCATGGTTGTAGTGTTGTACTGGTGCATTTCTGACCAGTTTGCTTTGCTCCTTTACCCCCATCTGTGGGCGGATTGAGCATGAATCAAGTCTGTTAAGCCCCATTGAGGGGTGGTGCTGATCTATGTTCGTGAATTTCAAGTTTCTTGGAGTTCTCTGGTTGTCTCTGGGCTTTATTTTCTCTCTCTACAAACTAGATGGCCTATGTTGAGATGCGGTCAGCCATGGCACCTGTCGGCCCTCGAGGGTCAGATTCACCGTGGTCATTATAGGCCTGTGTTTACGGGGTCTGGTCTTTGTTGGTGGGTTAGATGGTGCGATGGTGGGTACTGTTCTCTTGTAAGCTGCTAGTTTGAGGATGTTGAAGTTCCCTGGAGGCGTCTGGGTATGTCACCGGTAGGTCTGCAGCTTGGTGTTGTACCTGCTGGATGTCTTTATGTTAGAGGCTAGTCATGTTTAATGATTATTGTATGCATGCGAAGGGGGGCTAGTCTCAGTTTGCTTCAGCGATGATGATCAAGCTCTGTTCTTCTACGGCGGTGTGCAGGATGCTCATGACAGTCGTGTTTTTAGCCCAGATTTTTGCTGGGTGGTTTTGTGTTTTTGGCACATGCTCGCCGACGTGTATGTTAATGGTGTTCTGGTTCAGGGTTGCTGCCATTGCTGCTATATTTTGGAGCAACGTGGTGGATTTTTGGGGTTCTGCGGGTTGGCTGCCATGTTTGGCATACATGAGTTGGCTAGCGATGCTGGGTTTTCCGACGGCAGACTTATGTTCTAGGTAATCAAGCTTCGCCGGCCATGGTGGACTTCCGATGCTGGTGTATTTTTAATACATGAGCTACGAAGGAGTTGAAGTGGGTTTCACGAGTTTTGGGCGCGTGGGATTCATTAACAAATGTAGCTGGGTGCTTTCATAGGCTCTACATCACCTATGTATGATGTGTTTTTGACGTGTGATGAGTGATGTTGTAATGTTGCTGTGTAGCAGGTTGCACCACGTGGGTGGAGGGTGGGTCTTCTCCCGCCAAGGGGTTTTGAATTCTGGGATGGTGGGTATGCTTTTGGCCCACGGTTTTGGGTAAACCAGTAATGGTTTTGAATTGTTATATTGGCTGGCAGCGCTGTAATGAAGTGTATGGTCCATCTTTTGATTTACGGTGGGCCCACGGGGCCAATAGTGCTAACTCGTTTTGTGGGTTTTTACCACGTTGGTAAAATTGTCCATATATCATTCCCCAATACCTATCTATTATTTTTATGGTGAGGGTATTTGGAGATTAAAATGATATATGGACAATTTTTAATTTTTTATTATTATTGTGTTTGTTAGGTATCCGATTTTTTGCCCATATATTCACCTCAAGTTCCCTTCTATTATCTCTGACGGTAGGGGTTACTTTGAGGACAAAAAGAATATATGGGCAAAGTTGGGTTATTGTGTTTTAGTTTTAATTTCTTGTTTACCCCCTTTCTTAGGGGTGTCGTGGTAGTTTTTGTTGGTTATATATGTTTTTATTTGTTGTTTGGGCGTGCCTGGGGTATGCCCCTTGTAAACTTGTAAATTTCACTGTTTTTATTTTATTACTTACTTACCCAAAAAGAAATAGTCCACAAAGGAGTGGTGAACCTCAGCACTTTTTGTCACTCTATCCCCATTAGGGAGCACAACACTGTGAATCCGCCCCTTGTTCACATTTCCCTTCACATTTCTAAAGAAGAACTTGGAATTCCTATCCCCTAAACCTAACCATTGGATACGAGATTTCTGGTGGGCAAGACTCTCCTCAGCTTTGCTAAGGTCAATATATTTCACATAAGCAGCCCTCTCAGTCTCTTGAAGAGTTAAATTCAAAGGATCTTTATCAAGCTTAATTTGAGAATTAAGGAGATGATCCTTGGCAACACCAACCCGAGTGGAAATCTCACTATATTCCTTTTTGTTCAACTCTTTAAGAATGGGCTTAAGAGTTTTAAGCTTTTGGCAAACCCTGAACATGGGAGAACCCCTAATGTATTTCCTCCAGACACCATACACACTGGGGAGGAAGTCACAGTGGTTAGCCCAGAAGTCAAAAAACTTGAAGGGCTTCTTAAGCTTCGCTTCCTCACCTCCAAGTTGCACAATCACAGGGGAGTGATCAGAAACTCCCGAGGGCAAGAAAAGAGCATACGAGTTAGGGTTAACAGTTAACCACCTCTCATTGACAAGGACTCTATCAATTTTTGAGGTAATGAAGTTACCACCCCCCTGCTTATTTGACCAAGTAAATTGACACCCTTTGTAACACAAGTCTTCCAATTCAGAGTCCAAAACCATACTATTAAACACCTCATTGGCACGACTCCAGTTCTCCCTCCCCCCCATTTTCTCAAATGAAAAGCGGACAACATTAAAGTCACCAAGAAAAACAGAAGGGTGACTAGCATAATTGAGAGCAATTTTCTTTAGATCAAAAAACAAGGGAAGCCTCAACTCATGCTTATTTTCAGCATATACAAAAGTAGAAAAGAAGCTGAAATCACCCTCGAAAACTGTCACTTTTACAAAAATAAACTGGTTTGATTTTTGGACCATCAAAACATCGCAGAAATTTGGATCCTAGCAAACCCAAATTCTCGCTGGCAGGTCTGGTTGTGAATTCGACAAAAATTTCCAATTTTTAAAGCTATTTTCAAAAATTTTAGCTTCATTTTCCATTTTAACTTTTGTCTCCAAAATGCTCATAATTTTAATATCTTCTTTTTTAACAAAATCAATAACTTCTTTATGTTTTGAGGGATTGTTAAACCCTCTGACATTCCAAAAAGAGGTTTTAATGGACATGATAAACAACAAAAAAATAAGATCACAACCAGATCACCACAAAAAAAACAACAGATTTTTACCTCCTTTTCTTCTTCTGGCTACCTGATCTGCCAGAAGACTTCTGCTTGGTTGAGCTGCCCACCTTTAGCCCACCATCTTTCTTTCCCCCATGCAGTTCAGGAGGTTTTGCTCTCATTTCCTCTTCCCCCACATCCTCAGTATTTCTGATGTTTTCCTCAACTGCTTGGGTTGTGGTCTCAACAGTTTCCATAGCCTCAGAGTGAGAGGCATCAATCTGGCCCATAACATTGGCAGCATTTTCTTCAATCTCTGGTTGGGGAACAGCCTCCTCAGACTCAGGGTCTAGGTCACCCCCCTTAGTTGCAGATGAGCTATCAACTTCAGTAGGGACTTCTTGAAGAGGGCAGATTTGGTCCCCCACTTTCCTTTTACCCTTATCCGTCACAGTAGTCCATCCCTCATCAACTTCAACCCTGTCCTTGGAGTTCTTCTGTAACTCAATAAGATGTGTAACTTGTGCTGAGAGACAGGTCTTAGTCTCATGGCCAAAAACATGACAGTGCATACACCTCGATGGAACACCCTGATACTCCACATGGATATTCATGGATACATCACCACTTGTAATTATGAAACTATCAGGGAACTCAGATACAGCTGAAATATCCACACAAACTCTAGCGAAGGAGATCCTACTTCCCGAGGAGGTAAGTTGATCCATAAACAATGGAACACCCACTGCACTAGCTATTCTTCCTAAACCATCTCCATCCCAATATTCAAGAGGAATATTATGGAATTTCACCCAAATAGGGATGGTTTTCTTGTCTTCCTTAGACAATTTCATCATTCGATGCCACTGCTTCAATATAAGAAGGAAGCCTCCCACATACCATGGTCCTCCCTCCAAGACGTCAATACAGTAATCCCGATTTTCAAACATAAAGAAGAAGAACCCATCATCATTTTTCAGAATATCAACCAGCCCCTTATTCTTCCACATATTATTAGCATTGTTTTTTATAAGGGTATATGGTAGATTTTTATCAATGAAGTACCCCACCAGACAAGCTTCCCATTTAACCATAGGCGAGGGGGGAGGCAACTCAACAACTATCTTATCCTGATCAAGTTTAGGGGGATAGTATTTAAGTTTTACCTCTGACCGGACTGAAGATGAGGCCACATTAGCTCACGATCGACCCTCAGTGGCACGAAACGGCCCTCTGCCTCCACGACCACCCCTGTTATTAGGGTTGGTACCACGACCTTGGTTATGAAACCCACCTCGAGTGTTACCCACAGATCCTCTAGGGTTGGGATCCGATTCATCAGAAACACGATCAGTTTGACTAGCGATCCCTCTAGGGCTTCCATCTGCACCAGACTCATCAGCATCCAAGTCTTTGTCCCCCATGTCAATATCTCCTTTCTCCTATGAACCCATCGGAATATCCGCCTTTTCAGCAATCTCACCATGTTGTTGAGTGATACCCCGATTTTTTGTGAC